GTGAAAGCGATGACGACGCCGACGATTCTGATGATGTTATAATGATTATGGTGGGGATGATGTTGATGATGAAGGTGATGATGATTATTATTATGATGCTGATGCTGCTGCTGATGATGCTGATGATCATGATGAGAGGGTGGTGGTGGTTGTTGTTGTTGTTGTTGTGGTGTGGCGATGGTGCCGATGATGATGACAATGGTGATAACTCTTATGCTGATGGTGATTATGGTGGTGGTTACGACGACAAGGACGACGTCGACGACGACGATGATGGTGGTGGTGGTAATGGTGATGATGATGGTGATGATAATGGTGGTGGTTCTTATTTTTATGTGTAGTATTCATATTGTTGTTGTTATTATTGCTTCCGTTATTATCATTACCGTTTCTCCTTTCTAGTGTAGGCTTTTTACAGTCATTATCATTCGTCAGAGTGAGGAGGTCGAGCGGTGATTCACTGTCCCTGGGTGCGTGGCTGAAGTGGGATTCCGCATTACGGGTTCTTGTTGAATTTTCATTTCGAGAGAATGATTATTGTTGATCTCTGGAAACGGTTCCGCGCGCTCTCGCTTCGACGCCTTTACAGTTTCTCTGAAAGCGAGGCTTCCTCGCGAGCGTCGGCTTGAGTGGAAATGTGGGCCCTTGGAGGCCCGGTTACAACGGCAACGGCTCCCGCTCGACACTTCCTCACAGTTTACCCCGAGACACCCTGGCCAGAGAGGCCCCCGAACTCACGAACGGGGCTCAGAACGCAGGAACGGCGCTCTCGCTCGAGACGTCGTCGCGATCCAGTCAAATTGATGGAGGCCCACCGTCGACGACCAGGGCTCTCGATTGATATTCTCGTAAGATGTATTCGCAGCGGCCCTTGCCAGAGAGGCCCCCGAACTCCAGAGTGGCGCTCTCGCTCGAGACTTTCTCGTAATTCAGGCAAGTTGGTGGAGGCCCAGACACGGCGACAAGGGTTCTTGCTCGATGCTTCTCCAGATGTATTCCGAGAGCCCCTGGCCAGAGAGGCCCCCGAAATTAAGGAGCGGCGCTTTCGCAACAAGGAAGATATTCCCCCGAAAGGGGGTGCAATCGAAGACAAAATTGGCGGGCATCGAGGGTTGAGTTATACAGAATGCAAGACACGCGTGCCAGTAACAGCGACCAGTCTTAACATGATTGTTGTTGTTGTTGTTGTTGTTGTTGTTGTTGTTGTTGTTGTTGAACTCTCACTTTTGAAGAATAATAATTGTTCCCCCCCGTCCGGTGCACATTGTTTTTTTGATTGAAGTACCTTTCCCGGGGCTCGCACCCTATTTTTATCAGGGAAAGTTTTGAGGGTCAAACCGCTTTGTTGGCCCCCGGTTTGCAACAACGGCTCCCGCTTGATTTTCTTGACAATTTATTGAAGAATCGCACTCTCGCTTGGGATTTCCTTGCAACTTACCACTGGATCGCGGCTCCCGCTTGATACATCTTCGCAATGTATTGAAGAATCGCGCTCTCGCTTGGGACTTCCTCGCAACTTACCACCGGATCGCGGCTCCCGCCTGACACTTCCTCACAATTTATTCCGATGCCGCTCCTGGACACTCAGGAATCGCGCTCCCGCTACATATTGCCTTGCGGTTCTAGCAGACTTTACGCTTCAACGACCCGCCCTCTCGACCCGCCCGTCTGGGCCTACCTGCCCGACCAGCCCGTTAGGGACTGCAGTCGCCGCTCGCTGCCCTTCGCCCGCCTTCGATGCCCCTCGCTGCCCGTACTGGTTCCGCGGTCGCCTTCGCTCGCTGCCCTTCGTGGCCCCGTTGCTGCCCTTCGTGGCCCCGTCGCTGCCCACTGTGGCCCCGTATCATATGCCCTTCGTGGCCCCCGATGGCAGTCGCCCGTCGGGGCCCCATTCGCATGCCCTCCGTAGCCCCGCTGTCGCCCTTCGTGGCCCCCTCGCTGCCCTTCGTGGCCCCGTTGCTGCCCTCAGTGGCCCCGCTGCTGCTCTTCGCGGCCCCACATGTGTATGCCCTTCGTGGCCCCCGCTCGTTCGCGCCCGTGGTGGCCCCATACGCATGCCCTTCGTGTCCCCGCTGTCGCCCTTCGTGGCCCCCTCGCTGCCCTTTGTGGCCCCGTTGCTGCCCTCAGTGGCCCCGTCCTTGCCCTCCGCGGCCCAGCATACGTATGCCCTTTGTGGTCCCCGCTCGTTCGCGCCCGTTGTGGCCCCATGTGCATACCCTTCGTGGCCCCGCTGTCGCCGTTTGTGGCCCCCTCACTGTCCTACGTGGCCCAGTTGCTACCCTCAGTGGCCCCATCGTTGCATTCTGTGGCCCCGCATTATCGGCCCTTCGTGGCCCCCGCTCGTTCGCGCTCTTCGTGGCCCCATACGCATTCCCTTCGTGTCCCCGCTGTCGCCCTTCGTGGCCTACTTCGTGTCCTTCGTGGCCCTGCTGTCGTTCTCTCTCGCTCTCGCTTTCGCTCGTCGTTGTGCCGTCGTCGTCGACGTCGTCGTCGTCGTGGTCGGTCCCCTGTCCGTCCCTCTTGGGGTCGGGTCGACGGTCCGCGCCGCCCCGCTGATCAGCGCTGCCGCTGGCCAGGCCGACGGTCCGCTGCCGCCCCGCCGCTTGCTGGGGCCTGCAGGGAAGAAAGGTACACCCCCCAAAAGGGGTTCGATCGAAGACGAAGAGGGCGGGTATCGAGGGTTTGAGAAATACGGGTTATTGAACACTCGCGCAGATAAGGGCGAACAATCTTAAAATGATGATTGTTGTTGTTGTTGTTGCTGTTGTTGTTGCTGTTGCTGCTGTTGTTGTTGTTGTTGTTGTTGTTGTTGTTGTTGTTGTTGTTGTTGTTGTTGTTGTTGTTGTTTTGTTGTTGTTGATGATGATGATGATGGTGATGATGATGATGATGATGATGGTGATGATGATGATGATGGTGATGATGATGATGATGATGATGATGGTGATGATGATGATGATGGTGATGATGATGTTGTTGTTGTTGTTGTTGTTGTTGTTGTTGTTTGGCGTCGTCCCCCCCGCGACCCAACCCGAGACCCACCGGCGACCACCCCGCGACCTGCCCGCGACCCACCCGCGACCCACCCGCGACCCACCCGCGACCCACCCCGCGACCCACCCCGCGACCCACCCGCGACCCACCCGCGACCCACCCCGCGACCCACCCCGCGACCCACCCGCGACCCACCCCGCGACCCACCCGCGACCCACCCCGCGACCCACCCCGCGACCCACCCGCGACCCACCCGCGACCCACCCGCGACCCACCCGCGATCCACCCTTGACCCACCCCGCGACCCACATTGCGTTAATGAAATATCGGCGCCCGCGGCGGGCTCGTGTATAATTTGTAAAAATTAGGCGCTTGCGGCGGGCTTCTTCACAGCCTCGCAGACTGCAGAAATCCCCGCCGCCCCCTCACTCTTATCCGCGACTGCAGGGTGCTACGTAGTATTCTGATTATCATGAAGGCGATCACGATGGTGATGGCGATAACGATAGCGTTGCTGCTGATGATGATAATGATGATGCTGATGATGCTGATGATGACGCTGATCATGCTAATGCTGATGATGCTGATGGTGGTGGAAATCATGATGATGGTGATGATGTTATATAATGACAGTGCTGGTGATGGTGTTGGTGATAGTGATTGTTATGATTGTGGTGGTAATGAAGATACTTATGGTTCTGATGGTGATGATGATGATGATGATGGTGGTGGTGGTGGTTACGACGACGACGACGATGATGATTATGATGATTGTGGTGGTGGTTGTTATGATGCTGGTGGTGGTGATGATGTTCACTATGACGACGACGATGATGATGATGCCGATGCTGATGCCGATGATGATGCTGATGGTCATGATGATGGTGACGATGATACTGATGCTGATTATGATGATGATGATGCTGATGATGATGATATTGATGATGATGATGATGATCATGATGATGATGATGATGATGAAAATGATGATGATGATGATGATGATGATGATGATGATGATGATGATGATGATGATGTTGACGACGGTGGTGGTGATGATGGTGGTGCTGATGATGATGATGATGATTATGGTCACAATGGTGACTGCTGATGATGGTGATGGTGATGATGGTGGTGTTGGCAGTGAAGGTGGTGATTATGATGGTGCTGGTGGTGATGATGACGATGATGATGATGATGCTGATGATGACGGTGATGATGATGATGCTGATGATGATGATAATGATGATGATGATGATGATGATGATGATGATGATGATGATGATGATGATGATGATGATGATGATGATGATGATGATGATGATGATGATGTTGCTGGTGACGATGATGATGATGCTGCTGCTGATGATGATGATGATCATTATGATGAGGAGGAAGAGGAGGAGGAGGAGGAGGAGGAGGATGAGGATGATGATGGTGTTGTTGGTGGTGGTGGTGAGGAGCAGGAGGAGCAGGAAGAGGAGGTTGAGGAGGAGTAGTACAGGAGGAGGATGGAGGATAGAAGAGGACCGATGAAGGCGGGGTCCAATAGGTTTTGAAGGTGTCAGGGTGTTCGAGGGGGCTCCGAGGGAGTTCCCGGTGTTCATCACCCCTCCTCCCTTCGCCTCGTCGTCGTCACCCTCTTGCTCTTCCCTCGTCTTCGTCGTCATCGTTGCCTCCAGACCTCGGGCTGCCTGCCTCTGTTTTACCCGTGGACCCGGGCCTCTCGCATAAGACTGTTTCCGGACAGTCCTGGGGCCCGAGAGTGGGTCCCTTGGAGGCCAGGGCGGAGGAGCAGAAGCGGGCGGCACTGGAAAAAAGCGGTGGCGTGGAGGGGCTGAAGAACGAGGCGGGCCCTGGGATCGAGGTTCGAGGATCGAGGTTCGAGGATCGAGCATCGAGGTTCGACGGTCGAGGATCGAGGATGGAGGGTCGAGTCTCGAGGGCCGGGTGTTCGGGCGCTCCTCGTCCTGCTCTCCGCGGCCCCCTCTCGGCTGCCCCCGAAGGTGGTACCCCCGCCCTCGCCGCTGAACCTGGCCGCGGGCGCGCAGTCGCCGCTGGGGGCGCGCGTGGGGGGCAGGGCGCCGTCGACGTCATCGTCTTTGGCCGCCTCGTGCTGCTCCCGCCCCTGCTGCTGATGCTCCCGTCTTGCTCGTTCGCCGCTGCTGCTGCTGCTCTTGCGGTTGCTCCTCCTCCTCGTCCCGCCCCGCTCGCGCTGGGGGAGGTACATGGGTAAGAGAAGGTTCGGAAGGAGGAGGAGGAGAAGGAGGGGAATGAGGAGGGGGAGGAGGAGGAGGAGAAGGAGGAGGAGAAGGAGGAGGACCCCTGTACTCCCAGGACGCATCAGCGATATTTGCAATGCACCCTCCCAACAGGCAAACATCGCTCCAATCCCTAAGGAAAACACGCATGTGTAGCATCTTCGTTTTTCGTGCCGTAGCAGCGTCCAAGACGGCCCAAGAAGCTTGCGATATCGCCCCAAGGCGGCCCAAGAGGCCTCCGAGGGAGCTTCAAGCCAGGCCAAGAGGACCCCAATAATGCCCCAAAGCGGCCCAAAGAAGGCTCCCAAGAGAGACCCACGAGGGCCATGGGAGGGAGGGCCTCAAGTCAAAAGGACCCCCAAGACGGCCCAAAGAGGCGCCCAAGAGGCCTCCAGAGGCCCCCAACGCCCTTGAGAGGCATTCGTGAGACCTCGAAGAGGTGCACCAACGAGGCGCCTCCACAAAAAGACCTGCGGCAGACGGGAAGTGGTTCGCAATGCCAGGCGACAGCGTGGATGAACGACAAGTGCGATGGGGAATGATGTGTCGTTGCCGTCCATTGCATTGTATGCACGTGTGTACACGTAGGCATATGTAAGCTCTGTGGGCACGCTACACATGCATGTGCAGCCATAGTTCTACGTTGTACATAGTTGTATACATGTATGTATGTATGTATGTATGTATGTATGTATGTATGTATGTATGTATGTATGTATGTATGTATGTATGTATGTATGTATGTATGTATACACATGTACAGCCACATGCACATACACATACACAAGCACATATATTTATGTATGTGTATATTTATACATATATATATATATATTGATATATATACACACAAGTGGCACGTGTGTGCCCAGGCTCATACACAAACAAAAACTGAAGGGGCGTTTGAAGCAGGCGTGACATGCAACATCGAAGTCGCACTCGATCGCAAGTGGGGTTGCCACACCTTGCGATGTGTGTACCAGGGCCCCCGGGAAGCCTTAGGAGGCCCGGCTTGGATACCAGAAGAGGCTCCAGGAGGCCCCAGGATTGTGAGTGTTGTGCGTGTGTGTGTGTGTGTGTGTGTGTGTGTGTGTGTTTTTGTGATGTATGCTTCGTGTGGTGCGTGCTTTTTGTCTGTTGTAGGTGTGTGTGTGTGTGTGTGTTATGTTTGTCTAGCGTGTGATGTGTTGGGCGTGATTTGTGTCTCTGTGTGCATGTAGTTCAGGAGGCCCCAGGAGACCCCAGGAGGCTTCAGGAGGCCCCAAGAGGCTCCAGAAGGCCGCAGGAGGCCCCAGGAGGCCCCAGGAGGTTTCAGGACACCCCCAGGAGGCTCCGAGGCGGGGTCTGGGGTGCCAGAAGGTTCAGAAGGCCCAGGAGGCCCCAGGAGGTTCCAGGAGGCCCCCAGGAGGCTCCGAGGCGGGGTCTGGGGCTCGATTTTGGAAGGTTTTTTTGAAGCGAAACCGCCATTCACTGAGAATCGGGGTCACAATTATTGAAATTACCATGTGTTTTTGAAGGTTTTATGTTAAAATGTTGAATTTCCCATGTGTTTTCGGACCCTGACGTCGCGATCTGCGTGAGGGTTGCCACCGGTTTTCAGAATTTCGAGGATGTCCCGAGCGAAACGCCCAGAAAAATCGCGGACGCGTGCGCATTAATCGCCTCTGAGCTCTACTCCCTCGGAGAGGTGCGTATGAGAATATGTATATATACATATATATACAGATGTATATATACATATATCTATATGTAGATCTATATAGATGCATCTACACATACAAATTGCAAGGTGGGCCAGAGCGAAAGGGTTGAACCGATCGTGCTTTCCAACAAGTTCCGGACAATTTTTTCGAAAAGATGCATTTCTTAGTGTTTTCAATTTTGTACCACATGTGCACGGAATCGTCTACATTCATTTGAAACTTGGCAAAATTGTTAAAACATTTGAGCATTGACCAGCATAAAGTCAGATGTGAACTTCCAGGTGAAAAGCTCAAGAGCCGTTACCAGCCCATCAGGTGAGAAGGTACTAAGCGCTAGTAGCGTGCGCCAATTACCTGGGTCTGGCCCAGGATCGCTCCGACATACAGTTCTCCGTCAAAGAGCTTGCGAGGTCTATGTCTTCATCTACTCGTGGTTCGTGGAAAGGTTTATTCAAATTGGGCAAGTACTTTTCAAACCACCTATCGGTCATGATATATATATATGACCTTGCCGGGACAACCCCAAGGAGTTAACAGTCTGGACAGACACCGATGACGTTGGATACAAGAGGACACGCAAACCAACAAGTGGTTGCACTCTGATGTGGGGATCACATCTCATCAAGTCTTGGAGCTCAGCTCAGAGTGTAGTTAGTTCATTGTCTGGCGAAGCTGAGTATGACGGCATGGTCAAAGGAACATTAATGGTTTCGGGGAGTACAGTCAGTACCCAAGGACTTCAACATTGTGTGCAGTATCGTCTTAAAGAGTGATGCCAGTGCAGCGATTGCCATGGCAAGTCGACGAGGTCTCGGGTAAGTTCGCCACATTGAGGTCTGCCAGTTGCGGTTGCAAGATAAAGTACGACGAGGGTATATCAAATTTGTGCGAGTCGGTATTCATGAGAATGTTGCGGATGCCTTGCCGAAGTACGCCAGTCAGGATGGGATGTTGATGCATATGAGGAGCACGAGTCTGCATATTACCGAAGGACGGCACGAACTAGCACCTGCTACGGAGTGCCAGTGAGGCGATTAACTTTTGATGATCTGGATTTCGATTTGAACTCGAGGTCAGTTGAGACAGCGGTGCTTGTCTTAACTCGCCGAGCGCGTTTGACTACTCGCAAAGTGCCGAATCGCAAACGTCCAAACAACACATGCCTGCTTTGATGTATTTTATCGTAGATCCCCCGCGGGGGATCCAGGCCATTTGCGAGTAGTTACTTTGCGAGTAGTGGAACGCGCTCGTCTACTAACCACCTACTTCCAGAAGGTGCTTGATACCTGGGACAACCCAGTCAACTCACTCGCCCCTGACGCACGCCATGGTGTCCAACTGCCCTTGTACATCAAGCGTAAACCAACTACAGAAGACGTTGGAGAGTATCGTGAATTTCGTCTTCAACCCGATGTTGAATCCCAGCATTTAATTAGGTATTCAAGATGTTCTCAACGACTCCTAGAAACAACGATCTCACCATAGCCTCTCGCCCAGAAGATTCGCATTTCATTAAGATGTGCGTCTGAATTGTGCTGCAGCTCGGCCTGTGAACGACTTGTGATGACCTCGGGCGTCTTTTGCGGCCTGCACTGGCCGAGGAGGGATGCAAAACCATCCCTTGCCGGCGCCCCGAGGAATGCCCAAATTTGGGTCCCATCCTCCTTCTCCTCCTCCTCCTCCTCCTCCTCCTCCTTCTCCTCCTCCTCCTCCTCCCCAAAAGGCGACCCGGGAACAAGTTTGGTCAGAGGATTTGGCCGTGCGGCCGCCGCCGCGTGGCTCAAGCTTCATCGCTGCCAGAAAAGAGCGCTCTCGGCATGTTACAAGAGGAGGAGGAGGAGGAAGAGGAGGAGGAGGAGGTTGAGGAGGAGGAGGAGGCGGAGGAGGAGGAGGAAGAGTAGGAGGAAGGAAGGAGGAGAAGGAGGAGGAGGAGGAGGAGGAGGAGGAGGAGAAGGATGACGAGGAGGAGGAGGAGGACCAGTGTAAACCCAAGGGGCGTCAACGATGTTGGAAGAAACCCTCCCTCCAGGCTCCCTCTCCTTAGGTTCCATACAACGGTTCATTTCCACTGAGGGAACTGCTTCGTTGAAGACAACAGTTTGAAGACCCTGAAGCATGCCAAAACATTGTTTCCGGCATTCCATCTCCACGGATCAACATGGTTGTTGCGTTTTGACGATTCTGAATCGTGCCAAAAACCATTTCTGGGACGTTGACACCGCGAGCGAATGTAATTGTTGCACTCTCATAATCTTTCATATTTCCAGAACGCCTTTTTTGGTACGCTGATCATGGGTATTGGTGAATCTCCTACAAATTTCAAAAGAGAATGCGCGTGGCGCTAAGGCGAGAGCCACATGTTGAAAAGGAGCCGCCCTCAATCCGTGAATTTCTTGCAGATTTTACACCGAATGTACGCGGCGCTCCGGCGAGAGCCACATGTTTGAAACGGGCCGCCTTCAATCCGTGAAGCTCGTGCAACTTCTTAGAAATAATGTGCACGGCGCTAAGGCGAGAGCCACATTTTGGAAACGGGCGGCCCTCAAGCATTGAAAGTGTTGCCAATGTTTAGGCTGCAGGGCCATAAATGGCAAGGACGTCTCAGGCGAAACGCCCGGGCCGCCCTAAAAACTGGTTTCGGGGTGCGACAGGGAAAAGTTCTCTACACAAGGAAAAAGGACGGGAAGAGGAGGAGGAGGAGGAGGAGGAGGAAAAGGGAAGAGGAGGACGAGGAGGAGGAAGACGAGGAGGAGGAGGGGGAGGTTGACAATCATGAGGAGGAGGAGGGCGAGGGGAGGAGGAGGAGGAGGAAGAGGAGGAGGAGGAGGAGGAGCAGGAGGAGGAGGAGGACGAGGAGGACGAGGGGGAGGAGGAGGCGGCGGAGCAGGAGGAGGAGGAGGAGGAGGGGAGGAGGAGAGGTGGTGGTGGAGGAGGAGGAGGATGAGCAGGGGGGAAGAGGAGGAGGAGGAGAAGGAGGAGGATGAGGAGGAGGAGGAGGAATAGGAGGAGGAGGAGGAGGCGGAGGAGGAGGAGAAGGAGGAAGAGAAAGATGATGATGAGGAGGAGGAGGAGGAGGAGGGAGAGGAAGACCATGATGATCAGGATGAAGGGGGATCAGGTTGGGGAGCATGACGAGGAGGAAGGGAGGAGGAGGAGGAGGAGGAGGAGGAGGAGGAGGAGGAGGAGGAGGAGGAGGAGGAGGAGCAGGAGGAGGAAGAGGAGGAGGAGGAGAGGAGGAGGAGGAGGGAGAGGAGGAGGATGAGCAGGAGGAGGAGGAGGATGATGATGATGAGGAGGAGGAGGAGGTGGTGGGTGGTAGAGGAGGAAGAGGAGGAACTGGAGTAGGAGGGGGAGGAAGACGGGAGGGCGAAGGCGGGTGGTGGTGTAGTGGAAGCGGGAGGGCGAGGGCGAGAAGGACGACGACGACGACGACGATCACGAAATACTAGACGACGACTCCGAAAGTGCACGCGGATCAGAAGCAAGAGAACGCGCGAACACTCTTAGGAGCCACCTTGGCTCAAAAACGCTGTTTGGCGATATTGGTTTCTGGCTTAAGTTTCGTTTCTGAGGCCGTTTGGCCCCATGTTGGCTCCCAGACCCCCGCATTTACAATTGTTTTTTTCGCACATGGTTTCGGTGGTGATACGTGTCACCCGCGGTTTTTTGTTCAAGGCTGATTGATCTTGTTGGCTCCCGAAATCCAGAATTCACAAGTGGTATATCTCAAAAGGTTTCGGGGAAGGCACGTGCCACCCGCTGCTTTTCTCAAGCCAAATGGCATTATGCTGGCTCCCAGAAGCCCAATCGTGAATTTGGTATTTATCAAACGGTTTCGGGGGTGACGCGTGTCACCCGTTGCTTTGTTCAGCCAAATGAGCCCATGTTGGCTCCCAGAGTCCCAAATCTGCAATTGTTCTCTTCGCACTCTGTTTCGGGGGTGGCACGTGGTACCCGCTGCTCATCTGAGGCTGAATGACCCCATGTTATCACCCTGTGGCGGTCCTGATGAGTTTGTAATGACACTTCTCTAAACATTAGCGCGTTGCTCGTGGCAAGTCTCACATTCAGACAGATTCATAGGGAAATCTGCATTGATTAGTGAAGCATCTTCGCCAGTCCAACGCTGCATTCCCGCAGCATTGGACTAGCGAAGATACTTGGGGAATGTTTGTTTTCTTGAAGTGACCCACCCTTTGGGGCCGCCGCCAACTTCGGGAGAGCCGATCGCCTTGGGCCGCTGCCAGTTTTCCGGAAACCCGTTCACATTTCAACCATGCGTTTTTTTTGGTGAACCCAGGCTAATGTGGCGTGGGGCAAGGAAATGTGGGTAATGTATCAATTACAGTGTGGGCGAGTACCAAGAAACCGGATGTTTTTCGTCAGGGCATCGTGGGTTTCTTCGCTCTGCGCGCCCCGCGATCGTTTCCCGCGGGTTTTAAGAAATTCTCGCGTGCAGGAGACCCTCGGGCCAGGGTTCCCTGGATTTCTCCGCTTCGAGCCCCTGACCAAGAAACCCAGACCCTGGGCAAGAAACTTTGTGGATTTTCAGGGTTGGGTTTCTTGCGACGGCTTGCTGCGGCCGTGCGCCCAGAGTACCCTTCCTGGGCAGCGGGGCCAGGGAAGGGTCCTGACATGACTCGTAATGGGCCTGCTTTTTAGATACGGCCCCTTCTTCAGAACCCAGATTTGCTGGGAATGAGGGTTGTACATTTCAGCTCGGTCAGGGGCGGCGAACGCGATCTGTGTTTCTGGGGCGATGGAGGAGGAGGCAATGCTCGTAGAGTAAGAGCGAACTTAAACAGCCCAATCGTCGGTAAGAGCAAGCCGAAAGTCCGAACTTGTCGCGAATGGGTGTCGTAAGGATTGTTATTGACGGGTCAAGCGCGCTGGCTGAGCGTATTGGGATTTGGCCTTGGAAACAACGCTGCCCCCCAAGCGACCTCCAAGTTGTACACTTTCTCGACCCCCTTGTTCTTCGGGGGAGGCCCAGCTGTCCACGTCGCTGCAGACGCCAGTGCAGAAGCTGGCTGCGGCGCTGCCCAGGCGCGGTCTCCAGGGAAGACAGCGGGGAGGAGGAGGAGGAGGAGGAGGAGGAGGAGGAGGAGGAGGAGGAGGAGGAGGATGGGCAGGGTGAGGCGGGGGAGGGGGGGGAGAAGAAGAAGGAGGAGGAGGAAGAGGAGGTGGAGGTGATGATGATGATGATGATGATGATGATGATGATGATGATGATGATGATGATGATGATGGTGATGGTGATGATGATGGTGATGATGCTGCTGCTGATGATCATGATCAGAAGGAGGAGGATGAGGATGAAGATGACTTTGCTGATGAGGAGGAGGAATATATGGATGGGGAGGAGTTGGACGACGTTGACGATGATACTGATGATGAGGATGACGATGATGACAAGGATGATGATGATGATGCTGATGATGCTGATGATGCTGATGATGATGATGATGATGATGATGATGGTGGTGATACTGATGATGATGATCAGGAGGAGGACGCTGATGATGATGCTGATGATGAGGATGATGCTGCTGCTGACGATGATGATGATGCTGATGATGCTGCTGAGGATGATGATGGTGGCGACAATGAGGATCATGATATTTTTGATGCTGATCAAAGATGATGATCGTAACTGCACGATGGGGAGACGGAATGCTTATTTTGCTCAGGGTACGCGTTGTGTAATACGTGGGCGCGGTCTTGCAAGGTTGTGTGCCAGAAGAGGGGCAGCTGCCGCCTGCACGAACTGGCACGAACCAAGCGATAAAGGGCCAAGCTAAGAACGGACCCCACCACATCTTTGGAAGAAACGTGGGATCTTTGGGCATGGCATGTCCTGGATATCCCAAAGGGCTCCCATGCGAGGAACGGCCATGAGGGTAGCATCAGAGCGGCCTCACCTTCCTGCTCTCCTCTCCTCCTCCCCACCTTCCCCTCTCTCTCCCTCGTTCGCCCCCCCTCTGGCAGAGACGCTTGCCCGCATTTCCGCCCCATGCGGATCACGCTCAGCATGCCCAGTTGCGCTATTCACAATCGCTTTCGGCGGGGTGTACTTCCCGTCTTCTTTCTAACCCCACGTCCGCTGGCAGTGTTGCGCTCGTGCACTGACATACTAGATTCACGTGCTACGGCATTGGCTGATTCATAGCGACCTCGAGAGCCTTCAGCCTTGAAAGTTGTGATCATGCTGCCGCGGCTCGGCTGCGGAGACACACAGATGATGCTGCGCTTCGCAGTACGATCCGATACGGCCCCTCCCTCCCTCCCCCAGACTTCCCCCCTCCGGGGCGATCCACAACCACCGCTTGGGGGATCGATCTTCGGAGACCTCATCAGGCGGTGTAAGATTCGGAGCCTGGGGTGGCTTGTGTACATCACGTGTTTCTATGCATGTGCATCTACATATACATATACATGTATAGGTGCATAGACACACACATGTATGTGAGTATGTATCACAGCTATATATATATATATATATACATCTGTTCATGACTATAGATATACATAAGTGCATATGGCATGCGTAAGCGTATACGTACACGTACGCATCGCAGTGGAAAACAGAATTTGGTCTGCATGCAAGTAACTGCCAGCTGGCGGAGTAGGCGGAGCGGGCGGAGTAGAACTTATTCCGCGCGGATATGCATCCTACCCCGTTGTTCATCATATTCGGCACCGTAATTTCGGACACCGTTTTGAGATAGCACAGTTATTAATCTAGGGGGACCCGGATTTCTCCGCGGGAGCGCAGGAGCCAAACCACTGGCCAATGTTTGGACGCGTCAGAGGAATCGGATATTCCAACAGCACGCCAAGCCGCACATGTTTTCGCCACGGCATTTGCAGATGCACAAACACCGACGTATCCATTGGAATGTACACGTGCACCAACATATCGAATTCAGACACATGTACATGTACATATACATTGACATGTACATATACACATTACTATCCATACACATTCCCCGATCAGAGCTTGCCTCTGTAGGGGTCCTAGCGGATTCGTTCCCCAATCAGAGCTTGCCTCTGTAGGGGTCCTAGCGGATTCACACGGTTAGGTGAGGTTCGCCGCCGATTTCCTGGGTGCATGCCCGGGTATCCAGGTGGTTCGCCGCCGATTTCCCGGGTCCCCCGCTGCCTGGGTGCCTGGGTGCCCGGTAGCTCTATAGCCCCATAGCCCTATGGCTTTACAGCCTTATAGCCCTATAGGACTATAGCCCTATAGCCCTATAGCCCTATAGACCTATAGCCCTATAACCCTAATAGCCCTATAGCCCTAAAGCCCAAAAACCCTATAGCCCTATAGCCCTTACCCTAGAGAGATCAGATTGTTTTTTTCCTCCGGTATCATACGGTTAGGTGAGGTTCGCCGCCGATTTCCCGGCTGCCCGGGTGCCCGGGTGCGGTTCGCCGCCGATTCCCCGGGTGCCCGGCTGCCCGGGTGCCCAGGTGCCCCGGTGCCTTGGTGCTTTATAGCCCTAGAGCCCGATAGCCCTAGCCCTATAGCCCTGTGGCCCAATAGCCCTACAGCCCTATAGCCCTATAGCCCTATGGCCCTATAGCCCTATAACCCCATAGCCTTATTTCCCTAGAAAGATTATGAGTGTTTTTTTCTACGGTATCATACACATATGCATTCACATCCATACGTGCATACACATACACATAATCATACACATACACAAGTACATACACACATACATACATCAACATATTCGTATACATTTGTGTACACATGTACATATCCGCATACACGTGTACAGACTTATGTTTCTACATATATGTATAACACGTCTTCACATACATGGAAATGTATACATTTGCACATACGTGTACACACATGTACACGTACACATACATACACATACATACGTATTTGTACACACATGCACATTCGCATACACATGTGCATACACATATGCATGCACATTTACGCATCCACGTACGTATACATATACGTCTACATGTGTATATGCACATGTACATGTGCAGATGTCTGTATGTAAGTATATACGTCAACAAGTACATGTAAACACTCTTGCACACATGCTTATACACATACACATGCCTACACATATACGTAAACATTTGAATCTACATATGGCTAGACAGACACATCCGTATACATAACATCGTACACGACCATACACTTAGTCATACACACACATGCCTTTTGCACATACATACGGTTGTTTAATACACATGTGAGCACGCGCGTGTATATCTACATTTCTGTATGTCAGTGCATTGGTGGTGTATTTGCCCACAAGTATCCATACATGCATACGCATACACACATGTGTGTTTGTATCCCTTGCGACGGGGTCCGCGGCCCTGGCCGAAGGACCTCGACCCTCCATGGGGGCTCCAGGGCCTTCCAGGAGGTGCAATACGGCCCAAGAGGGCTCCGAGGCGGTCCTCAAGCTTTCCAGGACGGACCCAGATGCGTCCAAGACAGCCCGACACAGCCCCAAGAACGCCCAAGATAGCCTCAAGACGGCCCAAGGCCGTGAGTCAATGAACAAGGGCGTGAAACTTATGACGATTAGTATCCAGTGCAGAGTGGACGTGGAACGCGCGTTCGACGTCTGGATGAAGTTCGCCGAACTCGCCTCCCAGGTGGCCACGGTGATGCCACAAATGTCGGCCGAGTGTCGCATTTGACGTTCAAGGTGGACAAGGGACACAGGTGTACGGAACAGGGCCGGCAGCCATGGATGACATTGGGCCAGGTCAAGCTGCCCACGGGGGCGCAGCCGGGCAGTCACTGGAGTCAAGCCACATTTCATTGGAAGGAGCGGCAGTGGTTGTAGAGACGCTAGGCCCGCCGGGGTACCGTATGCCAGATAGCGTAAAACATTGGCGAAGAAGGAGTCCACGGCATTGCTACGCCGTGCTTTCCAGACCAGAAGGTATGCACTCACGCCCAAGGAGTTTGCCGACCACGTGCTCTCGCTCGCCCCGTCCGTTAGCTGCGAATGTGTTGACGGCGGAGTAAGGGTGGCCTTCAAGGGAGCGCCTGTAGCGCCAGTGCTGTGGCTCCTTTGTTGGGCCGTCTTGCGCCCGGAGAGCGGCCGTGGCGTTAGCTGGCCTGGGCTTTCCAAGGCGCCGGCACACAAAGCAAAAAGTCAAGCCCAAGACGCCCCCCAGAGGGCCCAAGAGGGCTCCCGGATAACTCCGAGAGGCCAAATCGATCAACATCGCTTATCAAAGTCGCATTGGGGGGTCATTGATTTTTGCCCCGTCTCGCTGTTCGTTGCTACTTGGCGTCGCGACGCGTCCAGCGTGGCCTGCGACGGGCCTGCCACGGCTCATGAGAGGCCCAAGGTCCCCAAAAAGCTACCGTCGCGAGCGCCAGCGCTCGGCGCAGGGGCCGCGCGCGCGCGCGAGAAAGGGCGCGAGCGATGGGGCGCCGCGGGCGCGGCGAAAACGGCGACCCCCCCCCCGCGCCCGCCGCGGAGGCCGAGCGCGCGGCTCGCGGCAAACGCCTCGCTGACGTCGATGTCGCGGCCCACGCCTCGCGCCTGGCTCGCGCCGAGCGCGAGGCCGACGCCGAAGTCGCGGCCCAGGGCGAGCGCGCGGCGGTTGCCGGGGTTTTGCCGGGGGTCTGCTAGGACCTGGCCAAGACATTCCCGAGGTCTTTTTCGTCCTCCTCCCTCCCCTCCTTCCTCCATCCCCGCCACCCCTCTCGACGCTCTCGGCGAGCGCGCGACCCTTTCCTTCCCCCCTCCGCCCTCCCTTCGAAGTGCTTCGAAGGCTGTGGGCGCCTCTTCGTTGTCCTCCGCCCCCCCCCCCCCCCCTCCCCCTCCCTCCTTCCCCGTGGGTTTGGCGCCTGTTCGGCCTCTGCGTTGCACTCGTCCATCCTCCTGCGGGGCGCGCGTCATTCGCGGCGCCTTTTCGATGCCAGCCCAGCTCGCCCCGCCTATCCTTTGCTCTTCCCAGCTTCGTCTTTCCTCTTCCGATTCCCATCCGCATCGCCCCCCCCATCGCCCCCCTTCCCTGCGCTCCGCCTACTCACC